GATATTGTGTCCTTGATCTCCAATCCAGTATATCATAGTTAATCTGAGCTAAAAAAAATTGATCATTACTTCATTTAGCATGAATTCATGTAGTTTTATACACAATGTAGCTTTTGTACTGTTTGGCGTTATTCATTATTGTAACGTAAGATTTGTGGTAAAAGTTTATATTACTCTAAGAATTAGGTTTATATTTTCAGTCGAATAAAAATTATTTTCAATGAAGTGGTATCTGTTACTCCTTATAAAAATCTGTAATTTAGAGTTTTTGAGTTATTTATTTAAAATTTAGAGATATTTTATTACTATATGTAGTATAATATAATACTGCTTTATAAAATATTCTATTCAATTTTCAAATAAAACAGAAATGATTTCATTTACAAAAAAAATTTTTTAATGATTAGTATTTATGTATCAATTTTTAATAAAATGGCTATATTGATTTATAAGGTCTTATTAATTAAAAAAAAAATAAATTTATAAAAATGTCATAACTATTAAAAAATATTAAAGTTTAATACATGTAATAATGATGGAAGAATGTCTATAATTAAAATATTTGACAATAATATTTAAATTATTTTTATTAATAATTTGTTTAAATAACAATTAGATGGCAGCACAAAGCTCTCTTATGAAGTTGACTACAGCGCAAACTGTCAAATGCGGAAGAATATATTTGATATCAATTTAAATTTAAATTTTGATTATAACATTTTTTTTAAAATAAATTTAATTTTAAAATTTTATTGAGAAAGTAATAAATAGATAAAATATGTGACAAAATTATATAATTCAAATAATTAAAAGTAATTAAAATAAATTACAACGGAACAAACATATTAAAAAATCCATGGTTAAAGTTTTGTTTGATTTTCAAGCACAGTTGTTCTTGAATCATCACAAAAATACAAAGCATCAGATAGGTCAATGACATATATAATAATAATACAGTTTAGCTTGAGCAGACTTCATTTTAATTTGTAATTTGAATGAAAATGCCCGAGCAAAACTCAAGTGATCAATATTCAACATGGGTAAGTTTATAATTTCGATATGGTTTTTGTAATTTTGACATATGGTATTAAATAACCTCAAACTATAAACAAAATCTTTTTTGAGTCCCATTATTATATTACTTTTTTTTATTTTTTGTCTATATATACACAAATAAAGTTTCATTATTAATATATTTTTCAGGTTGGTCTAATATATATTTTTAATTTAATTGTTGGAACAGGAGCTTTAACATTACCTGCTGTTTTTAGTCGAGCAGGATGGGCTCTTGGATTAAGTGTTATTTTAATATTAGCATTTATAAGGTAGATTAATAATAAGGTCTATATACTTTAATTAATTAGTTTTAAAACTTAAAATCAATTGTATTATTTTTATAGTTTCATCACAGTTACATTTGTGATCGAAGTAATGGCATCTGCTAATGCTATACTAGCATGGCGACACATTCAACATAGAAAACGTGTATGTTTTTCTCAAGATTCATCTTTCAACGAATCAGAATCTGAGGTTTTTAAATATTTTCTATATTGCATTTTTTGTAACAATTTTTGATAGTATTATATATATATATTTTTAACAAGATTTGTTTTTTCTAGCAATCATTTTATTTTTAATTAAAAAAAGTTGTATTTTATTTCAGGTACTTCAAACATTAGGTGAATCAGGACCTTCAAATTTAGATTCTGAAGATACTCCTCTTGTTACTCCATTTTCAACTAGTCCTGATCGTGCAGATATGACATATCGATATTATATAATACGTGATAAAATAGAAATGGGACAAATGGCATCAATTTTTTTTAATAAATTTGGCATAACTTTATTCTATTTATGTTTTGCTATATATCTTTATGGGGATCTAAGTATATATGGAGCAGCAGTAGCAAAAACTTTAGCTGATGTTATTTGTACTTATCAACCAACAAATTTTACATGTAATGATACAATACCAGATACTGAAATCTGTTGGAAAGAATTTACTCTAAATCGATCGGATGCATATAGAATATTTCTTGTATGTACAAATACAGAAATATTATATTTATTTCAATAATTACTATTTTTAATATAATGATGAATATTATTTTTAGAGTATATTTATATTTTTGTTGGGTCCATTTGTATTCTTTAATATTCAAAAGACTAAATATCTTCAACTTTTAACTTCAGCTATGAGATCACTTGCATTTACCATCATGATTGTGTATGCATTAAAAAATTTATTTATTCATGGTCCACAAGGAAATCCTCCAGCAGCAAATATTATGGGTAAGTTTATTTATATACTTGAAAAATATATATATATTTATTTTTTTTAACATTTAAATAAATAAATAAAAACATTATCTGTGTATTTCAGGTATACCTAGTTTATTTGGTGCTTGTATTTATTCTTTTATGTGTCATCATTCTTTACCTGCATTGGTTGCTCCAATCGCAAATAAGACCACTTTGACTCGATTTTTGGCACTGGATTATTTATTAATAGCATTTTTTTATCTTTTACTGGCATTAACTGGAGCATTTGCTTTCGAACATTTGGACGATCTTTACACTTTAGATTTTAGTCCTCATGGATCTGGAGATTGTTCCAAAAGTAATAATATTTTTATTATTCTTATAGAATATTTTTTGGCACTTTTTCCAGTGTTTACATTGAGTACAAGCTTTCCTATTATAGCTATAACGCTTAGAAATAATTTACAATCATTATTTCTTAATGAAGATACATCATATTCATGTCTTCGTAAAATTGTCTTCCCAATATTAGCAATATTACCTCCATATATGATTGCTTTGAGTACTAAAGATTTATCAATATTAGTAGGAATTACAGGATCATATGCTGGAGCAGGAATTCAATATTTGATTCCAACATTTTTAGTGTATTATGCCAGACAAAAAACAAATAAAGTTATAGGTCTTGGTGTTGTTAATAAATTTGCAAGTCCATTTTCTAGTAACTCTTGGCTCATTTTTGTTATAGTTTGGGCTATTGCTTGCATGATTTTAGTATCAGTCAATTTTATTCAAATTCATTTTTATTCTATAAGCATACATTTACAGTAAAAAAATTTAAGATTTAGATATTTAAATCAAAAATGTAAAAAAAAGAGAAATTAATAATGGTGCAAATTTGAATTATTCTTGAAAGTTGCATATCTAAAGTAATATCATTAAATCTAAAATTGGATTATTTATGAAACATATAGAATGAAAATTGTGATATTAATGATTTTAAATTAAATCATAATTAAGATATACGAAATTTTTAATAGTAACTCTAATAAGAGCTTACTAATGAGTAAAAAAATCTTTTCAAAAATTAATAAATATTTATTATTTAAACGAAAATATAAAAATAGATTTTAGAAGATAATATTTTTAAATAATTATGATTGATAGTAAGATACTTTCATTTTATTTCTTATATTTTGGCATCATTATTAGAAAATTATTTTTTTCATCATATAAGAGAATATAATAATAATAATAATAATAATAATAATAATAATAATAACAATAATAATAATGATATTAATCATAATAATATATCATGACACAATGTGTCACAATATGACAATACACTGGCACAAGTCAGGATTAATCTTATACAAGCCAAATGAATTAATTTAAGTTATAAACTTTTATATAATGTATTCTTTATCTTTTTTATATTTTTATTCAATAGAAAATATGTCTTAGTACAGTCTTTACTGTACATAAATGTCTTTCAAATAAGTGATATTTAGTGGCCAATTAATAATATTTTGTCCACTATTTAAACGGTATGAAGATGCATCTAAATCTGTAGACTCATATAATTGTTAATGAATATATATTCAAAAATATTAAAGGTCTATTTGTTATTTATTATTTAAAAAAAAATTCATTTCTAGTATGCTTTTTTGAAAAAAAAAATTAGGCAGATTAAATAATTATTATTAATTAAATTTGATTTGTATATCACAGAACATATTTTTATATAGTATAAAACTGCCAAAGTATTTATAAAATGCCTCTCGTACCGTGTACCTGTACAAATGTAATATATATATATAAATACATAAAATATGTATACATATATTTTCTAAAAGTAAAAGAAAAAAATAAAGAATTGATTACATAAGCTTACTTTGATTTATTTTTATATGTACATACATATTTCTATTTATTCATAGTTGTATATTATATTCAATTAAACTTAGCAGAACAAATTTTAACACGAATAGATTTCTCTATATACTCTAACAACATAAGATGGCACAGTAAAAGCATTATATTATTTGTATGAAATCTTTACAATCTTCTATTAATTATGAATAATTTTTAAAGTTTATTTATTTAAGTTATAAGATATCATACAAATAATTGTATACAATCTGTATACATTTATTACAATGATGCATCTATTTTATACCAAAAAGATTAAATTTGAAAGAATTATATCTTCAATTATATATTTTTATGAGCAAATAGACTAGCATAAAAACACTTTGGGTTATCAGAATAAAAAGGAAAATTGTTGAGCAAGATACATTTATATCACTTTTTTATATAAATCAATATATAATCAATTACCACAATAAAATTACCAAAAATGTTATGTACAAGAATTCAAAATATAATAAAACATAATACTTTGTATATATAATAAATTAAAACTTGTTTTGTAGAAAAAATATTAAAAATATCACAATAAGTGAATATCCCAAAGTGAACACGTGCATCATTAATTGACCAAGAAATTTGAATGGACTTACAATAAATATTTATATAATACATTAAATTACATTTAATTTTTTTGTTGATATTAAATTAATTTTTTATTTTCAGATTGCAAAATTTGTACCAAACGAAAAAACAGCATTTCCAATTACAAATAAATAAATAACAATAATGTTTATGTAATGAAAAAGCTTGTTTATTTGGAGATTTTAAAGCTAAAATGCTTGTATCACTCCATTTTTCTTTGGTCATCAGTCTTTAATTGTACTACAGGTTTTCGATTAAAACTCGTCATAATTATTGAAGTTCTACTTAATTATTTAGTTCAGAATATTTTTGTTTTATAGAAGTTAATGTATTGTTATTAAAATTTTCTTTAAATTACAATTAACTTCATTGAATGTCAAATTTTAAGATATGTCTTTCATTTCTTATTTATTAAACTTAATTTGCCAGATATTTTTGATGAGCGTTTATAAATTACGTAATTACGTAAATAAAATGTGATAATGTACAATTTTTTGTTTATGATATTAAATTGATTAAGAATTTTTTTGTATAAACAATATGTAAGTCAAATATTACTTTCATAAATATCTGTTATTACTTAGAACATTTAATTAACTGTGATTTATGTAACTTATTTATGTTACATGTGATCGTTACAGCATATTTAATTTAATTAATTAACGTAAGAATAATTTGAAAGCTTCAACAACTTTTACAATAGTATACTTTTATCTCTTTCATTAAATTTAGGTCGTTATTCATAATTGTTTAAATATGGACAAGGTGCATCATTATGATCCACACATTCTATAACAGGATCATGAGTGCTATCCCACATTCCTGGACCACATTGTCGGCAAAGTCCTGCTAATGTACATGGTAAACGATCAAGTCGACGAAAATGATGTAGTAGGCCTCTCGCCTTTCTTAATATGAGATTTCCATCCATATACATAGCTAAAGAACTAAAATGTAATAACATCTCATCTGTTCTAAGATCTTGTGCTATTACATCATCTGCATAAACACACATTATGGCAAGACAAAGAAATAAATGAAAATGGTCAGTTAAATAATTTACCCAACAAGCTTCCCACATCACTAATGCTACTTCAGTAGGAAATTCACGTTTTAAACATCTGCAAAATATATATTATTATTGATGATAAATCTATTGATAAAAATTTTAAAATATTTATAAAATTCGTATTTACAGAAGTATCCATCTATGACAAAATAAGAGTTCCAAAGCATCCGTATGTTTTTGAAGATGTGCATAAAAATCTGGGACCATTATTCTAACTAATTCTCTTAAATAACATAAATTTCTGTCCATATCTATATCAGTAGGAGTACATACTGCTACAGATCTTTGCATTAATCCAGCAAAGCACCAAAATGCTTCTATTTCAGAATTGAGTTCAGCCAATAAAGGAGCCAATAAATCAGACATACCTTGAGTGTATCCTAATCGAGAATTATAAACTGCATAATTTAATAGAATATTTCTGAAAAAGGTAAATATGATAGTATTAACATATAAATGAAGTTATATAAATACAAATCTAGAAATAAAAAAATTAATCTTATATAAACATACTTCATTATTTCAATATTTGGATTATCTTCTCCAGCATAATAAGGATTTCCTCTGTCAGTACGAACTACATCTTTCTCTACAATACACACTACATTTCGCCAAAAATGCTCTGCTTGTTCTGGATTCATGCTCAATCTACGTTTTTGTATCTCTTCATATTCTTGTCTACGAATGGCATCAATTTGTTCTCTATCTTCATAAGTACTTTGATATGAATAACAATGAAGAAGAAAGGGCCACACAATTTTTCTTAATGCAGGTTCTAATCCACCAAAAAATATTCCTTTACGAAGAGCAAGATCATCTTCAACTTGACCTCTTTCATTTAATAAATCTTTCCAAGCTAATGATGTAATCATTGGTACTTGACCTTCTTCTGGATGTAGTTCATCACGACTAACCTCTGGTCGACATACCATAAAATGCCTGAATCATAGAAAAAATTAGATATTTAATAAAATATTAATTTTTTTCATTAATTACCTATATGGAAGTGTTTCTTCAGCATCAGTATCTAATCGAGGATAAAGTAATTGATGCCATTGATGTAATGTTGCTGCTAATCGGTCCAATCCACCATGATGAAAATGTAGAATTTTATATTGGCTTTCTCTACTTGCAACAACCAATTGACCAGAAGTACAAGCTGGATCAGCAAAAAATAATCTTAGAGATCTCATTTCACTAAGATCCACTGAAAATCTTCTACATCTGTGTGCTCTACGTAATGTTACTGGTGAAGCTGTTGCACTTTCAGGAAATGTAAGGTTATGTTGTAAAGCCAAAAGTTCAGGTGATCTCATCCATGATGGAATTTCTTCAGCTAAAGAAGATGCATTACATATTATGCATTAGTAATATCTAGAAACTAATGAAAAAAACTATCAAAGTAATCAATTTAATACCTTCTGAAGATACGCCAACAGATAAACTACATGTAGAGGTTAATGACATACTACGACTTTTGAGACTTATATCATCATAATAAGGATATTTCAATTCTTCATCAATACTTATTCCATCGTTCTCATGTGTTTCGGAAACTTTTTGATCTTTACAATATTGATTTTCATCATATTTTGAATTCAGAGATTCAGAACGTAATTGATTTAAACTGATACTATGATCATTTTCTTCATGTATAGTAGTTGATAAATTATCAGATCGATGATAATTTGTTTGCCGATTGATATTAACATTTGGAATTTCTTTAATTTCTGATGTAAGCATAATTTGATGATCGCATAAATTATCATTGTTTTTTGTATCATCGTTTTCGAAACGTGCATTCCGTGAAAAACCACCAGAGCAAACTCGTTCACAATCTCCACAATTGACAGGTTCCTTTACTTCTAAACAAACATCAACTTTTTCACCAATATTTTCGTATTCACACTTTAGATCACAACTTTCTTCTGATATTTGAGAATGATGAGAACTTATATCGGTATCTCGATGGGTAATACAATCAAGTTTTTTTACGTTTAAATTTTCTAATGTTGTCGGATGTTTACGAAGTGTACTATTTGGAATCCAACTGAGATGCAAAGTTGGTACATTCGAGTTTTTATTAAATCTACAGGTTATGGCCATGTATCCGGGATGATGTACCACATCAGAATTTTGTCTCATTAAAGTTGGTGGATGAACGCAAACATTATTCTTACAAAATAATGCCTCGCCATCCTGATATATAGTACGACGATTATCTTGATTACAATCGCCTAAAATATAACTGCTTGCCTTTTTGAGAATATTTGGCAGAGGCATCTTCGTTTAAGGCAGATTGGTGAAGAACAAATCATCTAGTTATCTTTATTAGAGCATAATGCGAAATTGTATTTATACGATTAAATTTCTTTACATAATTTTCATCGTAATTATAATAATATTCAAATAACGATTGTTATGAAATGATTATGAAATATAATGTACAATTGTTTAAAGTGATAAATCTGTACGAATACAATTTTACTCTTTACATTGAAGAACACAATATTCATGTAAAAATTAAAAATTTCAGATGCACTGTTTCCTTTTTTTTTTACAAGTTAAAGAATATCTACAGAATATTTAATGTTTTTATGGAGTATTAAAATTACAGAGATCAAACTTTGTCGCGTAGAAGCGCGCGAATAGACGCATCGAAATGTTATAATAAACTGATTTTTGTTCTTATAACATTTCCCGCTATCATTTGCTTTAAACATATATGCATGTTACCACATCAATTAATTTTGATGCACACACACACACGCACACGCACGCACACACACATATATATATATATATGGAACCTAAAATGTACACATATGGAAAATCACTATGGAAAATCAATCACTTAAATTTTTTGTCTTTACCTGCTTTTTATTACCCTCGTATTGAGGGTAATATATCGGCAAATTTTTATCAATGATTGTCAGGACTCCATTACGTTTAAAATTTTTCAGAAAAGTTATTCGTTAAAACTTTCACTTGAATGGATTCATGAATGAAAGATATATCATTAATATGTCACTATTTATTATACATACAATTAAACTTTGAATGAAAAATTGAAATATTTTGAAAACTACTAAAAATGTTGTGATCACTTGTAATAGATTACTATTATGCGATATTCACTATTGTTGTTTAATTTTTAAAGATGAATGAATTATAAATCTAATATAAGTACTGTAATTAGTACTGTAGTAAAACGTGTTTGCTAACAGACGGAACAACACAGATGCCTTATCCAGGATCAATATTTCCATCTGATCGTGAACCTGGTGGTTGGCTTACTATCCAAACCGCCGACATATCGTTGTCTAGCGTTGTACATATGGTTTTTATTGATTTTTCTTTGATGTTAAGTTTAAATTATTTGCTCTTCATTTCATAAAAAAAATTTTAAATATTTTATACTTGTAATTTCGTTCAAAAAATTTTTATCAACTTTTTTCAAATGATTATGATTATAAAATATGTTCAAAGTATGCATCAATTTTATCAAAAATTATAAAAAATTCTAAAAAATTTTAAAATCATATTTTAGAAATGAAAATAATATATTTGTATCAAAAACTATTTATTATTTCGTGAAAATATTATTCATTTTTGGTTAAGTATATTAAAAATCTATGTATATTATACAATTTAAAATAAACACATTATACAAAATATTATTAATAAAATATCTTAAAAATATCCTAAAACTATTATTATCGAAAACACTCACTCTAAAAATTTATAATAAATTAAATTTAAAATAACTTACAATTACTAAAAATATATTATTGATGAATAGGAATATTCTAAATTTAAAATAATATTCTGTTTATTTAATGTGTTCCTTTAATAATGAATTATTATTATATCACAGATCATAATATATGGTGATTATATAAATTAATGTAATTCATAATTAAAAAATATTTCATGAGTAGTATCAAGTGCTAATACTGCTTTGGGCCCACGTTTTATATATGATATTGTGGAATATGCAGAGAAATGAAAGTCTTCTTGTAAATAACCATTCACAAGTAAATGTCCTATTATAGCTTCTCCTGATTCTCTTGTAAATTTTGGTATTGGCACAGAAGATACTCGTAATATTGGTGCACCTTTACCATACCAAGCATCTATGAGTTTTAAGACAGTCAATCTAGTTTCATTTTGCACTGCTTTTGTCATAATTTGATATAACTGTCTACAATAAGGAGCTATATTTATTTGTTTATTGTCTTTAAATTTCCGGCAATGATCACACATTTCTGCACAATCACTTCTAGTCCAAGATTCTTCAAAATGAGTTGCAATTAAACTACGTCTACATGATGTTTGATCTAAACAATATGCTAACATTTTATATAAATTTTGTAAACCAACTTTATCTTGAAATACCATTGTGCTTAATTTAAAAATATCTTGAAGTTTATATAATACTATACACATGGATTTTTTTCCATCTCTACCTGCACGCCCACTTTCTTGATAAAAACTTTCCATTGATTTTGAAATGCAATGATGAATAACATATCTAACATCTGGCTTATCTATACCTAATCCAAAAGCAATAGTAGCCACTACAGCTTGATATTTTCCTGATATCCACTTAGAATATACTTCTGATCTATAATTTGCTTCTAACATTGCATGATAACATCCAACTTTTAAACCTACTGCTCTTAAATCAGTTGTTAATTGTTCTGCATCTTTGATGGTAGTTGTATAAATTATTCCAGATTTATCTTTAAATCTATTTTTTAATAAATTTTCTATCATAGCTAAGCATGTGTCTTTGTCTGTTGGTTTTCTTCGAACTTCATAAAATAAGTTTGGTCTATTGAAAGTAGCTCTCAAAACCAAGCAACCTTGAATATCTAACATTTTCTGAACATCTACAATAATTTTAGCTGGAGCAGTAGCTGTTAAACCTAAAATTGGTACACCTGGAAACATGGATTTTAATATTCCTAAAAATTTATAATCAGGTCTAAAATCATGTCCCCATTGGCTACAGCAATGTACTTCATCTATTGCAAAACGATCTAAACGTTTCATTTCAAAAGCTTTTTGCAACTTATTCATGAAACGATTGGATTTTGCCATATATTCTGGTGTAACATAAATTAATTTAAGATCAGATTTTTTATCTATTAGTGCATTCATTATAATTTTTACATTTTCTTTATTACATTTTGCACTTAACATTCCAGCTTTTACATTATGTTTTTGTAATCCATGTATTTGATCTTCCATTAATGATAATAATGGTGATACTACTATTGTAATACCTTTACTAATAACAGCAGGTAATTGATAACATAAACTTTTGCCACCACCTGTGGGCATAATTAAAATAACGTCTTCATTAGACATAATTGCATTCATAGTTGGTAATTGTAATTCTCTTAATTTTTCTATTTTAAAAACATCTTTTAAAGTTTTTTTCAAGTCTTTAGACCATGTAAAGTCTTCTTTACTCCAATTCTTTTTTGATACACATAAACTTTTTTTTAAAAGTGCATCATCTCGTAATTTTTCTTTACGTTGAATCAAGATTTTTTTACGATCCTCAAGATTTTGCATTTCACTTTCAATTTGTTTTAATTCATAATCAATAGCGGTAATTTCATCTTGTTCAACATCTAGAAAAAAAATGATATAACAAATAAATTTAAAAAAATGAAATTTAAATATAATAAAGAATTATTAATATTAATAATAATGATTCTCTTTTAAATTTCTCTCTAATTTATTTATTATTAAAAACACATTATTTTTAATATTATAAAAATAAAATAACAAACCTTGATGTTCATTATTTATTACTATTTCTTTCGAATTATTTGCAGACATTGTAAATAAATTAAAAAATATTTACATATAATAAGAGTAAAATAGCATTATATTTTATTATTTAATAAATAAAAATATTCATTAATTAAATAATACTATAGTTAAAAACATATGCATTCATGTGTTAACAATGATTCATACAGCATATGAACGTATGTAACCTAATATTTTCCATCAGTATTACATCGTACCGATCAGCTGAGTCCAGTTGTTTTATAGTAGTACTACATAGTAATTAGGCAAGTAACATTGTATATATAATAGTGTTTGATAATAGATATTTTATCGAATAAAATTTAATTTAATATCAATATTAAATTTATTAAAAATTATGTTAAACATAATGTCTCGTGCTTCTCCTATTCGGTTAACATTAACATCTTTATATTATAAGGGTATCTTGCTTTCTTTATATTTTCTTACAAATTTATATTTTTATTTTATTGTTTTTAGACTTTAAAATTTTTACGATTCTTATTAAAATTATTCAAAGGATATTAGAAAATATTTAATTTTTTTTTAAACATAAAATATAAAATCAAGTTTTTTTAAATATAAAATTATTCATATAAAATAAGATATAAAAATTATAATATTGCGATAAAAAAATTTATAAGAATATAATAAAAATAATTATTGATAACTAATGATTTTTTATATTTATATATTAATAAACTTTTTTGATATTTTTTGATTTATAAATATTTTGATGAATAAAAATTTGTTTGATATATATTTACAAATAGATAGATATTTTTTTTAAATATTTTTTATAAATTTTAGAATACACTTAAATAAGTATTATTCCATTTTTATTATATTATTAAATTTATTATTAATATGGATTTTAT